GGTGCTCAGGGAAGGCGGCAGGCTTGGCCATTGTCCTCTGTCCCTCTGGACACTGCGTCCACCCGTCCCTCAGCTGTCAGACATCGGGGTCCTTGTTGCCATCTGGGACAGTTGAACACACAGTGGGGACCACTGCAGGTGTCTGGGGTAGGCCCTGGCCCTGTCACCCAAGCCTGGCTGGCTCTTCCTCCCCTCTGCAGGGGACCATGCCCTCCCTCCCAGGGCGAATGGCATTTGTTCAGGAGCAAAGCTGCTGGGGGTGCAGGTAGGACCTGCGGCCTGTTCCCAGGGGAGAGAGACACCCCCACCCTCATGGGGCCAAGGGATCCCCCCTGGGCGGCTCCCTGCCCTGCAGGCTCCTGTCAAGCCCTGAGCCTATGTGGAACCAGAGCCTGAGCGACCCTGGGAAAGGCACTCAGCTTGCGAGAAATGAAACCTGAATGCAATTTCCTCTGGTTCACTTTTTATTTTTTTCATTTGTGGGAAATGCACGTAACATTTACCATTTTAACTACATGTAAGTCCATGGACACCATGGTGTGACCACCAAGCCAGCCACGGACAGAACCCCTCATCCTGCACAGCTGCACTCGGCCCCGTGATGCACGGGCTTAGACAAGGCAGGGCACCTTCGAGCAGGGATGCCAAGGGGTGCAGAAGAAACATACACAGGCCCCTGCCGGAGGGTGGCCCTGCTGGTCCCATCCCAAGACTGCTGGCCCTGGGGCAATGAAAGGACAGACAGATGCCTACTGCTCTGTCTCCCTGCTGCGGCAGTTGTAGAAAGTCAACACAGAACTGTCCTCATCCCTCCAGCATCAGGTCACACAGGAGTTGTCCCTTCCTGTCTGAAATGTACTACCAAGGCACGGTGCTCTGGTGGTGGACAGTGGCTAGCGTCCCCGGCCGGCATAACACCAGACCAAGCCCTGGGCCCCCACTCCGTGCTGCTGTTTCCCTTCAATCTCTCTCTGTCCCTCCCCATCTCCACCTCACTGAACCCTGTCTCCTGAGTACAGGGCAGCATGGGGACAAGCAGAGCCGGTCCTTCCCTGCAGCGGGCCCAGCCTCCGCTGCCCCTGTCCAGTCCTCCGCTACCAGCGCAGCACTCCCCATCACCCATGTAGTTAGCCAGAATCGGCTTCTTGAATTCAGCTGGGTGAGGGCAAAGGACGACGCTGCAGTGTGAGGTCTGCTGGGTGCCAGTGCTTCCCTTCCCCTGACGTCCAGCTCCAAGTCCCCGGGAAGCTGCACCCTCACGCCCTCCTATGCTCCTAAGCTGACCTCAGGGAGCGGCTCAGAGCTGGTCTGCGCACAATGTCTATTGTTGCTTCTGCAGATCTGTGTGCTTTGGTCCAAAAGAAGAAGCTGATGGAAAATGTACGAGTCTAGTGGCTCTGCTCACCACTGTGTTCCAAACCCACAAACCCTTCTTACTTATTTAATTTTTGGCAGTAGTAGGGGTGAACCCAAGGATTTTGCACTAACCTATATCCCTACCTTTTACATATTTATTTATTTATTTATTTAGGAGTTATTTAGTAAGACAGAGTCTCACTAAATTACTAACTTGCCCAGCTGGACTTGAATTTGCAATCCTCCCGGCTCGGCCTCCCACAGTGCTAGTGTTACAGGTGTATGCACCACAACATCTGGCTTCTCAGTCATGTTAAGGACAGCAAAGATAAGTATGAACTGCAAAACCAAAGAAAAACTTCCCCATTACATTCATGATCGAACATGACTCGTGCTTGTTAGGAAAACCCGGAGCTCTTAATCTGGGGAACAATCAACAGCTGGGCCTGTGAGCTTTGTTCAATCATCTCCTTATAGGTTCTTCTAGAAAGCACTGAGTATCCCATCAGGCCAGACTGTGTCTGAGTTTCCTTGGCCGGGAATTTTCCATTTCAGATTCACCTGGCTTCCTGCTCCCTCCGCTCACAGCCCCCCAAACTCTGATCTGACAGGTAACTCTCCCTGCAGTGAGACTTCAGTTACATAAACAGCGCCCCTAACTTCCTTGACCCTCTTAAGAATTAAGACCCAGAGTCAGTCTACAGACAAAGACAGATCCGCAGGAGTCCGCAGTTTCCCTCTCCGTTTTTACATCGGCCCTCTCCCTCCGATTGCATCCTCCTGGAGAGACAGTGGTGGATGGTGGTGGACAGTGCCCCAGCACTCTCTTGCTTTCCCAGCAGCCTGAACACTAACTTTACAAATGCAAAGACATCGTGATTCTATTTTCCCAATTTGAAATGTTTGCAAATACAATAAGGCGCTTGTATTTATTTATGTTACCAAGACACTTGGATGGAATGAAAACAGAAGAAAATATTTTTGTTGAGCCACCTATCATGGCTGCAAGGCTCTTCTGCTAACTGTGACCCCGTCCTGCGAGTCTACACAAAGAGTTAAAAATAGATGGGAGACAAACCCCGAGTCCTTTAATACACTAACTTAAAACTAAGGCCACATTTGATCTTGGAAATGACTGCAGCTCAGAGGCTTCATTACAACAGCTCCCCAGAGGATATCGGATTTTTAAAAATATATAAAGACCCAACTAGCGAGCCTTGCAGGATGCTCTGCAGGCTGCCAGCGCTGACAGACGCGGGGCGCTGCTTGCTGTGCGCCTCCGAGGAGCCCCCTCCCTCGGCCATGCGGTGCACAGAGGCTGGGCCTGCTGCCAGCGAAGGCCCAGGATTCGAGGATAAATCACTGGGCATTAGATAATAACTTACGTAATGACAGCTTTCTGATTCTTTTTCAGAAAACAGTAATCCTATGACCAAGTATCTCATGCAAGAAAATGCACTCATGTTTTCCTTGAACAAATTACTTGCAGTAAAATATAAACTCTGTCTGCCCTGCAAATTTAAAGCTGTCTACGCAAGGCAGAGTCCTCAGGTGCTTTCACTTCATCCGATCTTGACAATTCTGATCGATCACTAGACAGACACATTCATTAACAGGGCAGGAAGAAATCTTAGGTTTTAACCATGACCATACGGAATGAAAATGTAATTCCGGCAGGGGTGAGGAGGGGCAGTCCCACAAGTGCTCTGTGGTTCCTCGCTGGTTATCTGGCAGCCGCCTCCCACCTGTGGGAAAACGTACTGGCCTGCATGTGCTGCTGCTGTGGGTGGGGAGCAAGGGGTCTTCACCAGAATGGAGCCAGGGACAGGCAGGGACCTGCAGAGGGGTTCTTTCCCCTGTGGAGGGGTCTGGAGAGAAGCCCTAGCAGAGCCTAACCTGAAAACATGAGGCGCAGGAGCTCCAGTGGCCACCTCACAGCCCCAGCCTGCTGCTCTCAGGAAGGGCAGCCAGAACAGGAACAGGGAGTGACTTGGGCCTGGTCCCCAGGCAGGAGCCACCAGGACCCAGGTCAGTTACGGTCATGAAGCCCTCAAGCCACTGGACATTTCCCTTGTCCTCCAGGTAAATCTGACCTCAAATCTCCATCTCCAGTACCATGTTAAGATCTAGGCGAACACTTTCTACCTTTTATGACCAGACGTGGGTGATAAGGGAGAAGTAACCGTCTTAGCATGCCATAGGCACCCTTGATCTCCCTGCACTGCTGATGCCCGCTACAAGGTTGAACGTGGTCCTTAATCCTTGGGTCAGTTCAGATTCAAGAGGCCCTCAGCCTGCCACCAAGTCTCCTCTGAACTATGAGCGACCACCTGCCCTTCTGCCTGGACTCCTGCTCCCCTGGGCGGGCACCTGCTCAGACCCCACCTTACAGATGAGCGAATGGAAGCACCATGAAGTAAAACCCTCATCTGAATCTCAAAATAGAAAGGCGGCAGCCAGATTCCTCTTCTGCACAGTGGTCACCACGGCCCTGAGCCGGGTTCCTTGTTCACGATCCATTAGTGTTCGGCTCACTGTCTTTTCCAGATACACTGGCTGGCTTCCAAGTGGCCCACAGCACTGTTGAAATCTAAAGTCAGGCTTCACGGTCTGGGGAGCTGAGGTCACAAAGGGCAAGCAAGACACACGTCCTCGCATGACACAGACTGCTCTGGTACCAGTGTGCGCTCAATGACCGGTGGCAGGAGGACAGAGAACATTAAATCAGCCGTCTCCACTCAGGATTGAGCCCCAAACCACACTACACGATGCATATTCCACAGAGAGGAGAGACGCACGATAAGGAAGGCTGGAAACCTTGGGATGCCTTTCAGGCCATTTACTTCCTACATTGAAAAAGCACTTATAGACAGAAGTAAAATCTCCACAGCCAGCCACACTGCTTAGCAGGCACTGTCAGTGCTTAACAAGGAAAAGGTGAAAGCAAACGTACAAACAGAAACCCTCTTGACCTTTGCTACTGCATAAATTCCAGAATCTTGCTAGGTGTGTGTGGTGGCTGTTGCAATTGTTTTTGAATTTGGTGAGGACAACACACACAGGACATTTGCAAACATTTCTCACATTACCCCTCCTCCCACCGGGACAAGACCTAGCACGCGAGAGCGCACCAAGCTTGTTTACACAGGTAAAAGGGGCTCGCTGCTTATTATTTCATGCCCCACCCATGTCATAGCTTTTCCCTAGATGTCCCCCCAAACCCTCATGCTGTCATAGGTGGAGCTTTCCAGAGGTGTGATGCTGGGACTAAGGGTGTCCCACCCCGGGTGTCAGTATTACACCCCCTACGGGTGCGGAGTCTGGATAGACTGTAGGAGACAGAAAGGAAACTGCTCTGTTGCTGCTCCGTGCGTGCCCCTTTGCTGCTTCCCTGTCTTCTGCCTGCCACGAACTATTCTTTCCCGTGCGATGCCCCTCTGTTTTGCAATCAGACAACTATGAACAGACGCCTTTACAGACTATGAGCTCAAATAAACCTTTTGAGTATTTTGTCTCTACACTGAGAAAAGCAAGACACTCAATAAATATATTCGAATATACTCTGAAAATTAAAAGTATACTTACTAATAGTGTATTAGTTACTTCCCTATACTGACACAAAACACCTGGTTCCCGCAACTTACAGGATGGGTCTACTTTGGTTCACAGGTCCAGTGGGTCAGTTGGTGGGTGGCCAGCTCCAAGGCAAAGCAGCACAGTGGAAGGGCCTGGTGGAGGAAAGCCGTGCATGTCCTGGTGTCCAGGAAATAAAGAGAAAAGGGAGGAGCCTGTGACAAGAACATACCCTTCCACATCGCATCCCCGGATCCAACTGCAACTAGCACCCTGCCCCATAAACTCATCAGTGGACTAATCCACAGATGAACACAAGCAGCCCCATGATTCGGTCCCCTTCCAAAAGCCCCAACTCTGAAAATGAGGCACTAGTTATAAAGTTTAACACCCAGCATCTAAAATAAACCAAAAAATTTTAAGTTCTCCTGTCAGGGTTCGAAAGTGTGACAGAACCACTATGAAATCTGGTATCATCAACCGTGCTGTGGTTCTCAGAGGATGGACAGACAGACGCATAACCACTTGGCAGGTGTGTGCAGGAGGAAGCCACCTCTGCTGCCGATGCCAAAGAAAACCAAGAACCATTCCAAAGAAAGAAAAAGCGGACACAGCCTGACCCCAACCCCTTTTACCCCTCCTTGTCTTCCCCACATGGAAATCTAGGCAACTGTTTCCCCTGAACAGCTTCTTCTGCCTTCTGCCTTTCCCTAATTGTGCTCTGAAGTCTCTTGAAGGATCAGGACATATCCACTCGACTGCTCCTAATTCAATAAATATCCATCTCGTGTTCCTTTTTACAAATGGACTTTGACACACACAAAACCTATTACCCTAATGAACTCCGTTTTGCAAACTGGGTACAAGGCACAAGTGGCTGTATGTAGAACAGACACTGCTACTCCCAGTTCTACAACAGCTCCCTGAATGAACAAGCACGGGCATCACCGGTTCACGTCCCATTTTTTGAGCTTTCTTGATACGTTCCCTCTCCAGCACCTGCAGCTGTTTCCTGGGTTCTTGCACTACACCCTTGGCAAAGCGAGGGGGCTGCCTTTCACACAGCAAGAGGATGAGACTGATCAAGGAACCTAAGGAAGCAAACCAACCGGGACAGGGAAGGGAAATCAAAGGCTCCTCCCAAACACACCTGGCATTGCCTCTTCCCCAGAGAGACACAACCTTTGGCTCCTCCTGGAGCAGGAAAGAGCTGTTTGTGTTTGCACACACAGGAGAAGGAGGCTGCAGGTGCTCCAGAGACCTGGCAGGAGTATGCGTCTGCTCTAAAGGAGCCCTGGGGACGTTACAGGCCACAAGAGCAGGGGAAGTTATTAGAACCACAGAGGAAACGAGCAGCCCTGATGACAAACCTTCTAGAAAAAACTCTGAGGCCAACCAAGCAATGAGCCATGGGGGGAGGGGGCAGGACCCGAGGGCGGGGCCAGACTGCAGATCCCTTTACTGCCTCTGGCAGTTTTGCATGACCCCCACAAAGCTCTTCCCCATCAGAGCTCTGAGTTCCAGCAGGTGGCACTGGGACAGTCTCAGATCCCATTACATTTAGGAGAGGAAGCCATTGTCCCTTTTCTAGGCAAAGCATTGTGCCAGAGGCTCAGAGGCTTCTCATGTCTCAAGAATGCCATGCTATTGATTCAATATGGAAACTAAAGGCATGAATATTATATGGGATTCTTACCTTTCCGTGAGGTTCCACAAACACTAAGATTGCAAGCTGGAATGCGGGGTGTCTAACAGATATGTTTCTCCAACTCCTAGTCAACCCCTCATCAAAAGAAGAACCTACTGCCTGTCATTTTAACAAAATTAATTTTACAAATTGGGATTTCTTGTCTAAAAATGCACTCGGTGAAGGACAGCACTGCCGAGCGGGATCAGTTTGCTTCCACAGAGACCTCTGCTCAGTTCACCCTTGCGCAACTCTCCCAGAAACTTCTGGCATAGTTCGGGGTTTGTGTAAAAGTTGAGAAGTTCTGCAGGAAGGAAACCTCTTTAATTTCCCTGAGCCAATGAACAGGGGGCTGTTGTGCAAAGGCCTCTTAGTCGTGAGGCCTCCTGACGTGCAGGGTAGACCCACGGCAGGAACATTAGAAGGTGACATGGAGTCTCAGTCCTGTCTCCTGCTGTCAGCCCCACACACCCTGGTTCCTAAAATCCGCCTGGCTGCTCTGGGGCGCCACAGCTGCAGGCCATCCAGGTCACTGTGCAGTGTGGACAGTATCACCCTGGTCCAGCCTCAGAGATGCATCCCCAAAGCTGTGACACCCCAAAATCTCTCCAGCTAAGGACTTCTGTTCTGAGCCTGCAGGTAAAAATCTATCCCCAACCTGAGAGGAAGTGAGAAGGAAATGACTGTCACAGTGACTGGCATTCTTGTCTCTTGCTCTGCTCATGGACCATTAACCCATGCTTCGCTGTGCTCTGTTTTGCTCCTTGGTGCCTCTATCTCTGGGCAGCAGAGCATTCTCCCGTGCTGTCCTGCACTCGGGGCCGGCACAGTCACATGCATCAGCCATCCTCTGGGAGCCAGGAGCCAGCCCAGTGCCTCTGCAGCTCCTCAGCGCAGCGCCAGATGCTTCCCTTGTGAGATGCTTACTTGGCGCTGCATGAATGAAGCCTGCACTTCATCTCCTCATGTCTCCAGGGCCCTCTCTGCCCCTTTGTAACACCCTGCTCAGTGCTGACTGCAGACCACACAGCAGTGCAGGCAAGGATGCAAGTGAACTTTCACCTCGGCAGCATTCTGGTGAGAGACATCACTGCCTAGATGAACCAGGTGCTTTACATGTGGCTGTTCTGTGGGAATTAGCGAGAACTCAAAGTAGCAGAGGCAGAGAACGGCAGCAAATGTCTCTTACTTCAAATTCTTCCACCTTCCGGATGCCAAGAGCAGAGGGCATTTCGCAAAGGCTCTATTTCAGTGGCTCACCAGACACTGGGCCGGCTGCTGTCACACACAGTCAGAGGCCCTGCAGCCTCCAGAAGGCCCTGTCCCCCTGCGAGGTACCTCCTTCACACTCCTGAAGTTCCAGCTGCCCTCCACCTGAGGCCCTGCAGTGGGACACCCGATGTCACCACAGCCGGATGTCACCACACATCTCCGACCGGCTGAGCTCCTGGCCCTGCACAGACCCCAGATAGCCAGGGTCCAGCACCAGCTTCCTGTCCTGCACCTGGAGAAGCCTGTCTCAAAGGTAGCTCTGGCGTCACCGTATAGGACTTGCTGTCAGCGAAGTGCCCACCCCCTCCCTCCTCCTGGGCTCGGCTCCAGACACACAGCACTCCTCTCTCCATCCTGGGCTGAGGTCCCTGGTGGCAGAAGATGTCTGGACCTGTTCCTGCCACCAATCTGGAGCCTCACCTGCGAGGTCTTGGTGAGTCCTGCAGGTGGGAGCCCGGCCACTGCTCCATATCCCCCGCCTCCAACCGGCCCTAAATCGCCTGGAGGGGACCATCTGGGGTGTGGGGCGCGGGGACCCGGGCATGGGATGCAGAGGGCGCGGCCACTCTCCCTGGACTGAACCTCGAGTGTCCAGGACCTGCCCACCAGGCCCATGGCCACCTTGTCTGCGCAGGGCGGAGAAGCGGCACTCACCCCTCTCGGAGACCCCGTCTCTGACCCGAGTCCGCAGGACAGCCCCGCCCTGTCCCCCAGCTCCTGGCCGACCGGATGCCAAGTCCTCCAGGGTACTGAGCCCCGCAGTACTGAGTCCCTGATACGAGTCCCGCCTGTACAAGCCTCCCTGTACCGCCTCCTTGATACTGGACATCCCCGGTGCTGAGCATCCCCCAGCGTTGAGTCCCCGGGCAGGAAGCGAGGCCCTGGCCCCGTGTTTCCTGGTCGTGGGTCTCCGGGTGCTGAGGCTCCTCAGGTACCGGGCAAGGCCCCAATCCCGAACCCTCGAGTGCCGGGCACCCCGGGTACCATACACCCCCAATCTCCCTGCCCGCACTCACCGAGGCCCGAGCGGCGCGGTGCAGACTGCGCGTCCCCGTCCGCGTCCCCGGCTGCGCGGCCGCTGCGCTCGCGCGGGGCGGGGGATGAGAGGGAGGAGCAGGCGCCGGAAGAAAGCGCCCCGCCCTCCCGGGGCCACACCCCGGGCCCGCCCTCGGCCCCGCCCCCACCGGGACCCCCGCCCACTGGTTCCCGCCCCCTCCCACTTCGGGACCCCAAACCCGGCACTTCGGTTCCGGATCCGCCGCGTACCCTGGAACCCCGACTAGCCGCTCCGCAGCGCGAGGCCGGCAGCAGCTGCGACCCGCAAACCCGGCGGGAAAAAGTTTAGGGAGAAGGAGGCCGAGGTGTCGGGCCGGGGTCCCCACCCGGAGCTTCCCGGCCGGCTCCGGCCCCGCAGGTCCTGCAGAGGCCGCGGGCACTGCCGTGACCTTGAGACGTGGGTCCCCGTCCTCGTGGGGCCGGCGCCCCGCGCCTCAGCGCAGCCGGGAGGGGGCGCCGTGGTCGGGCCGGAGACCCTCCTACGCCGGCGGCGACGCGGGGTCCCTGCGCCCCCCGAGGGTCCCGGACTCGGTGCTCGCCGTGCGCTCCTCGTCCCGGGCCGCAGGTAGGCCGCCCAGAGGGCTAACTCCACGCGGACCCGGCCGCCACCTGTGCCCCGGGACTCTCGGGCCTGCACCCCGTAGGAGCAGTCATGGGAAGCAGCACGCAGGTTCTGAAGGCACTGCCCGGATCATCCCGGATTCCGGGTGTATTCCAGGACAGGACCCAGCGACTTAGGAAGCAAAGAAAATGTCCCGACTGTCCACCCCACTCCGAAGAACGAGGCCTGGGAGGACTACCAGGAAGGCCGGGGCAGCTAGGACCTGCACAGTCCAGCGAGCGCGTGGGCAAAGCTCACTGCCTGGTGGTGTCCAGCTCCGCGGAGCAGAGGGGCTTGTCGGGGCGCACACGCAGGAGCTCGGCTGTCCTCTCCGTCCCGAGGGGAAGGAGGATTCCCAGAGTACCAACCGCAGCAGGGCCTGTGCTGTCAAGGTAAGAGGACAGCTGCCTGCCTGGTCCCCTCCTGCCGGCGTCCCCATGGGCCTAGCAGGACAGCATGCCTGCTGCAGCCGGAGTTCCTCAGAACGCAGCAAAAGCGTAAAGTGCATTGAAGTGCTTTTCCCCCTCTCTGGTGCGGCAGCCTTGTTTTGCCTGGCTAAGGGTGACAGTGAGGCCTGACCCTGGCTTGCCTCTCTTTAGGGCCTGCTCCTTCCAAGGTGGGGCCACCTCAAGGTGCCACCTAAGAGCGATCCATACCGCTGAGGCCTCCCACCGCAGTCTGTCTCTCCGGGAAAAGGCTGTTTTCCGCAGCACGAAGGCCATGCTGTCTTTACGTGGGGTTGGGTAGAGATGATCATTAGTACAGCGGTTGCTAATAGTACCTGGGCTTTGCCTGGGCCAAGCTATCTTGTAACTGACTGGCTAGTTGTCCTTCCTCCCATTCTTAAATCCCGCACAGTCCACATATTACCCCCTAATGTTTGCTTATCCGTGGGTGGACGCAATCCAGGGGTCAGTTAGTTCCCTAAGACTGCATTTGCAGTTACATTAAAAGCATCAAATCCGGAATTTGTCCTTTCACCGTCCTCCCCCTGGACTTCCTTCACATCATCTTCTGGAATCTTCTCCCTGAGCTGCTTCCACACCACACCTTGACTATCCCACCTTCTTTCGCCCTTGTTCTTTTTCCTTTCATTTAGCTCTTTGCCCCCGTCTTGCTTACTCTTGTGCTGCCTTTATTTTACTTTCCTGACGAGCTGTAAGCTTTTGGAGGCCTGGCACTCAAGCTCCTTTTCACTTGTGTGTTTGGGGCTTCAGTTCCCAGGAGAGGCTGGCTGCAGCACACCTGCATTTCCAGAGGAAGCGGAACATCTGGTGGGAGGAAGCGGCTGAGGCTGGCCCTGAGGCAGGTGCACTTTCCGTGTGGCCATCTGCCTGCAGAGAGCTCTCGCTCCCTCCTTCACTTTTTGTTTAAAAAATCGTCAACCGAATCCCTTCAGTGTGGCCTGTGCCACTGCCAAATATTCTCCTAAGCATTCTAAGCATTCTCCTGCTGTCCTGTGAGGTGGCACACCTTTGACAGGGCACAGATGCCTGGCTGTCTCTGTGTTACACTTCTTTCAGACCAGCCTTTGTGCTAGAAAGTCACAGCTACATTGGAAATGGAAGACCATTCATTCATAAATTCATAAACTTACAAAAAAAGGAAATACCAAGCGAGCTTCATTAAAGATCTGTTAAAAGCTCATCTCCCGGACAGCTGTGTCTCCATTGTAAAAAGAAAAAAAATTAAACAAAAGATTAAGAGAAAATTATTCAAAGAATAATTGCTCCAATTATTCTTTCATTTTATGACTGCAGATTAAGGTCCTAACAGATCCGTAAGTGTTCACCACCGCCCCTCTGTGCACTCAGGGCTAAACTGCTCCAGGTAACGGCCTAGTGATGTTGAAGATGAGCACAGCATGGGAGGCGGAGCTGCTTCTCTGCTGGCGGAGACAGCTGCAGAGGCCTTTCCTCAAGGAAGAGGGATGGCATGATTGTACCTCAAATACAGGGATGCTCTTCCCTTGCCTCTACGTCTCAGGCAGGCCTGGCTCAACTGCTGAGAAGCAGCACGGTCCTGAGAAAACCAGCGCTCTTCTCTCTCCTATTTGAGCCCAAGGCGAAATTAATAGATATTTTTAATGGACCCTCTCAGATCCGTAAGTATTATCAAGAAAGTCATCACCGTTTATTTCCACAATGCTTTTACACACAATGCAATAATATAAATTAATACTCATGGTATCCAACGCAATGCATCTGTCTATACATCTTGCTTATTAGTGGATACGCACTTTGCATAGCCCTGACCTAAATCCTATAGCAGTCTTTCACCTCGGGGTGCCGCTCCGCGTCACCAGTGGTGTCCTGTAGATGCTGCTTGTGACCTCCTGTCAGCATGTGGGTAAGAAAAGTATCCTGATTTTTACAATTCTTTCCCACAACTTATACTCCAGTCCAACTAGAGGAAAATGCCAAGCAAATCCCAATGGAGGGCCATTCTACAAATGAAAAATACAAAATTTTCAGCCAGTACTCCTCCAAATCAACAGTCATTTAAAAAAAAAAAAAAAGGCAAAACTAAGAAACCATCACAGCTCAAAGAGACCAGAGGCACACAGCCAAACCCATTGTGGATTTAGTACCTTGGATTTGGCTCAGGAAGAACCTGAGACTATTAAAGGGGGGGGGGGCGGGTAATGAAGTCTGCACTTTAATTGCCAGCAGTGTACCAATGCTGATTTCTTAGTTTGGACCAACGGGACAAGTCAACCACAGAGCAAACTGAAAGGAGGCTATGCAGGAACTCTCCAGACTAACTTTCCTTTTTTCCTGTCTTTATAAAATTATTCCAAAATCATTTAAATATATTTTTAAATATTGAAGAAGATGCCAGGGAAAAATCTAGATCCAGCCAGCTCAGACTACATACCTGTGTAGACTGTGAAAAGCAGGTGGGTTAAGTTAGCAGGAAGAATGGCGCCCAGGATCCCTGGAGGTGGCTGAAAAATTGTGAAGTCCTTAGAGCTGAAAAGTCTGAGTATTGCAGTGAGGTCCTGCTCTTCCTGGCCACTTGGGGTCTTATGCTTGGCTTCATTTGCTCACCTCTGACCAAATCAAAGGAGGCCACATTGTTTGGATTAAGAGAAAAAGAATTTATCAAAAACTAGCTCCTTTATCCCTTAGGGATGTGTACAAAATTAGCCATTGTGAACTTGTGGTCCCCAACACATCCCCCTTTTTGTTTTTGTAATTGCAGCAGTTGAGATGTTGTACAGGCTATGGGATGTTCATCACAGCAACAAACGGTCTCAGGCGTTCAGCGGAGATCCTGTCGTGTCACCTGCGTGTCAGCCGCCTGTGTTGTCTTTACTCATCCCCATACCACGGGTTTTGTAGTCTGCATGGGATGGTGTGCTTGTGGTGCTGGCTGTTCTCCAGGGCCATTCTAGAGAATGCTCACACTGCAGGGCCAGCTGGGGACAGGCTTCACCACATGGCTGACATGTTCTTTCTGGCCATGTCGAGTGTACCAGGTGGATGGACATAGTGGTTGTTCCACTGTCTGTTAACACAAGTGTACCCTTGACCCATGGTACTAAGCACACTGGGCCGTCCTACTTTCCTGTTTGGATGTCCTTTTACAGGACTTGAGCCCTAGGGATGCTCCTCAGATTTGTGCTTTTGCCAGTGAAGTTCTGGGCATCTGCCTTATTTACAAACACATTTCCAGCCCAGTCCTGCCTGATACCTAGAAAAACCAAGGGCACCTCTACACCTCTACTAAAGGGTGGAGACTTTTTTACCAGCTGCCCCTCTTAAGGAGGGGTGAAGTTTTTCCTGACAAGCTTTCTAATGCAAAAAGATTTTGAATTCTCCTAAAATAAGATTTGACGTGAAATCATCTGGAAGAAGAATGGGTTGGAATAGGTAATAGCATTCTAAATGTCCTCATTCCCAGTGACTTGGGTTTCAGTGTTCTCCCATTTATGAAAAAGGACAGAATAATTACTTACTTTGAGATGCTAGGGAGATGTTGGTCACAGTGGACAGTGATGATATTGTATTGTGTATTTCTTGTTTGCTTTTACCATTTAGTAGCAAGCAAACAGTTCATACAGCATCAAGAGGATGCACAGTTAATAAGACAGGAGGTCAAGGAAACGAAAGGGGTAAACAAAAATGAAACATCACTGAGCTATTATTTCTTACAGATTTTGTTAGAGGAAGCTATTAATGGTAAGATACATGTAATGTTTTTTGCCTATCCAAAATAATATTTAGTGACCAAGTTTTACTAAAAATAAAATTGCACTTATTAAAAAACAAAGCTTCTAAGAAGAGACATCAGAATGAGTGGAAGCTCTTTCAACTAGATAACAATGTGCCAGCAGACAAAAGTCTACTCAACCAGAGATGGGCCATCACCAGCGCTAGTGCAGGGCACTAGGGCACCAGAGCAGTGCGTCTGCTCTGAGTATCAACTCCAATACCTGCATGGACTCAGCTTGACCTCACTTCTCAGACTCACCCTTTCACACCCTCATCTCAAC